AGACTGCTTGAGTCCCCCCTTCAGCCCCCCACAGGTACCAGGACTGCAGGTGTGTACATGTGGCCCTCTCTTATAAGGGCACTGACACCCTTAAGGAAGGCTCCCCCTCACTACCTCTAATCACCCCCTTGGGTGAGGACTTGAGTGCAAGTTGGAAGGCACACAGTCAAGAGGTCTGAGTTGTCACTTGCCCCAGTAATCCACAGGGTAGAAAGCACAGGGATTAGAAATGGAACATTTCTAATGTGTCTACTTGCTGAGACGCAGAGGCAGGCGGATCTCTGAATTCAAAGCCAGTCTGTTCTACAGAGCTAGTGCCAGGACAGGCTCCAAAGCTACACAGTGAAACCCTGTCCCAAAAAACAAAACAGCAACAACAACAACAACAAAAAAGAAACAGATTGTCTACTTATATTTCTGGTCCCTGAGCAGGAATGTCACCACTGGTCTGTTTTGCTTTTTTAAAGATTTATTTTATGGGCATCGGTGTTTTGCCTGCATGTCTGGATCCTCTGGAACTGGAGTTACAGACAAGTATGAGCTTCATGTGGGTGCTGGGAATTGAGCCAGGTCCTCTGGAAGAGCAGCCACTGCTATGGAGCCATCTCTCCAGCCCCCCACCAGCCTCTTTTACATCCCCATCCCCAACAGTGTTCCCATCCCTCAGGTACACAAAACATGCAGGATTAGAGCTCACAGTGGCATGGGGGGGTCTTACATACTGTCACCCTGATAATTAGCACAGGGCCCACGCCTCACACAGATGCTATGACCCTTTCTGTCCCCATTAGTGCCTCTCTGTGATAAACTGGTTCTGATAGGGTAATGACTATTGGTGTTAGTCCTGCTAAGTAGAAGCCAAGATTTTGGAATTTAAGGTTGGTTAGCTATCCCTCAGATGCCGGAAGTTCTGTCAGTGCTAGGGCAGGAAGGCCCAACCCACAGCTGAAGTGTGTGGCAGGTAGCTATACCAGAGTCTATCTTACCCAACAGCAGCAAGTCACAGAGCGACACAGTCAAATGCCTTTGGGAAATGTGGAGCCTTGATAGGAGGAGGGGTTGGTGTAGGAACTCAGGCATTATGCTGGCCTGCCCCTGTCACCGGGCAGAACACACTCAGGCAGCACCCTGGTTCCATGGCTTGTTGTGTGCACACAGGGGTAAAGGACCCTTTAAAAGAAAGACCCTGCCCATTTAGGCTCTCTTTCCTTCTCTTGGGCTGGGGCGGTCACGTCTTTTCCTGTCTTCCTCTTCTTTTTTGTCCTCTCTCTGTCTCTGTGTCTCTTTACCTTTTCCCTCCCTTCTCCCCTTTCCCCTTCCTAACAAAACTTCCTACTAAGCTCTGTCTGCACCCTTGGCTGTCTTGGAATCCACCAAGGTCTCCCTTGCACGTTAAACTAACCTTTGGCTCTGTCTGGAGGTAATCTCAGGAGGAGTCTCAGGAGGAGGGGACAAACAGGAAGTGACCTAGGTTAAACAGTGACAGGATGATGAATGGGGGTGGGGGTGAAGGAGAAGGTGCTCAAGCTCTGGTGGATCCCAAGCCACTTCCTCTCCCTGTTTCAGGACCGGTGGGTCTGTAGTAGTGCCTCCTTGTGCCTACCTGTGAACCCAGTGCTATCCGCCCTGAAACTTCTTCTCTGAAGTTTCTCAAGTCTGCTGCCAATATTCCTGTTGTTACTTTCATATCCTTTTTTATACCCTCATGTATCCTAGATGTATTCTCTGGAGATATGTACATCATATACATACAAAGGCTATTTTGTTGAGTGTCACATCTGTATAATACACTATAAACATCCTCCACTCTGTGACCTTGATACTCTGGGTTCTCTCTCTATTAAAATATAATACATATTTTAAAACAATGTCTCACTATGTAGTTCTGACCGGCTTTGAACTCACTATGTAGACCAGGCTGTCCTCACACACACACACACATATCTATATCTATCTATCTATATCTATATATCTTCACCTCTCTCTGGCTTCCAAGTGATGGGATTAAAGGCACGAGTCACCACACCTAGCTGTTTTTGAGATAGTCTATCTGGCAGCCTCTCCCACCCCCTCCCAGTCTCAGTGCTAGAATTACAGATATGCATCACCATACCACCTTGAAGTAACTAAGAGCCCCTAAGGTTGAATCTGGCAGACCCTACGACTTTGGAGCCTGTTTTGTGCAATTTTTCAGGCTCTCTTCTCTCTTTCCTGGGGGTATATGATCAAAACTGGGAGTGCACAGTGTGCTTAGCTGTGTACTGGCCTGCTTCACTGTCTCAACCTGTGCCCGCGCCTACAGCTGCAGTAGCATCAGGAGTCCCAACACGGGAGTGGGAATTTCATGCTGGGGGCACGCAGGGACAGAAGGCAAGACAGGCCAGACTGGGAACTTGAGAAAGTTCTAGGCATGAGTGGAGATGATGCCATTGTAGACTGAGTCCTAGCTTGCAGGCCAGAAAGGCAGCTGTGTGGAGGTAGGGAAGGGCATTCCCAGCTTTGCTGGTGGCTGGAGGAGAGGTGACTTAGGGGTAAAAATGTCAGAGGGAGAGATGGTAGCCTTGGCTTGGGCTATGGGTCTGCAGCTCTTTGCATGGTGCAACAGCAAAGGACAGGGTGGCCAAACCCTGAAAAAGGGCACTCTGCACCCTAGTGCAGGGTGGCTGGATGTGAGCTCTGGACTAACCCAGGCACTAGGCAGTGGAAGGTGAGAGACAGGAAGCAATAGCATGCTTCCACCAGCAGAGAGCAGTGTTGAATCTCAGCAGAGACACAATTGAGCATTCCTGAGATTATCCTGCCTAGAAACAAAGTTTCCCTGCCTCCATCCTACTGCAGAGCCTGAAGCTTTTCCTCCAGGCCCTAGCTTAGTGCAGTCAAGGCGGAGCTATGGGCCTCAGTGAAACTTGATTGCTGCAAGGGCCTGCTGGAACCACAGGTACACCCTGCTCCACACCAGCCCTGCTTGCTACTACTGTCTTGCTGTTCTTAGGATAGTGACTACTTACAAAGGCATCTCTCTGGGCTACTTTACTTTTATTCGTTTGAGACCAATCCCTCCTCCCTCCTATTCCTTAGAGACCGGGCCTCCTATATTGCCTCAGCTTCCCGGAGGCATACCTGGATGCTTAGGAACTCTTACAAATGAAGTCAGGCTGGTCAAGGGACAGTCATCCTGCTGCACTTAGCCGCATTGACGGGATCCCAGCCACAGACACAGGGGCTCTATTTCTCACTGCACTTTGGAGGGAGTGCTCATGGTGTCCATCTTCCCTGTGATGCACAGCAATGCCCAGTGCTACCCAGACTTCCTGGTGCTCACAAACAAGGTTCGCTCTGTAGACCAGGCTGGCCTCGAACTCAGAGATACACCAGCCTCTGCCTCCAGTACTGGGATTAAAGGCGTGTGCCAACCAGGTTTCTTGGCAAACACTATCAATTGAGTTACTGCATGCCCCTCAAACATTCCATGACTTTGGGGGACAGTGCTTGGAGGGAACACAAGGTTTTGAGTAGGCATTTAGTGCTCCACTGCTGAGCTTGAGACCCCAGAGCCCTTCTAACCAGGCCCCACCCCACCCCCCATCAGTTCTCACTGTGTTGCTCAGGCAGGAGAGCAACAAATCTCTCCTGAATTCACAAAATCCTGTCTCCATCTCCAAAGCAGTGGTGGCTCCCGGGCCAGGTATTATGATTACCCGTTTGCATCAATCACTTGGAGGGAGACCCTTTTCATTCTCTCTCCCTCCCTCCCTCCCTCCCTCCCTCCCTCCCTCCCTCCCTCCCTCCCTCCCTCCCTCTCTGTCTGTCTCCCTGCGCGCACGCGGGTGTGTGTGTGTGTGTTTGTGTGTTTTGTTTTTTCGAGACAGGGCTTCTCTGCGTAGCTTTGGAGGCTGTCCTGGAACCATGTCTTTCTTTTATGTATCCTAGGCTGATTTAAGCTCGCTCCCCCCTCCCCCTCTGCCTTCTGAGTAGCTGGCTGGCGTGGCAGCCCTGCAGTACCTCCTAGTTTCCTCCTCCTCCTCTCGATGTGTATTGGAAAGAGAGCTGCTTTTCTTGCTCCTATGCCTTTGAGCACTGCACAGGACAAGGAACCTACTACGATGCTGGGGTCCCTGCACTAGGACTCTGTTTGTTCTTGGTCTGGGCCCTCAGACACTGCAAGCGAGCATGAGCTGACTACTGCTCCTCCCCCTAGAGAAGGCTCTAGAGACAGTTGGACAGGACCAGGAGCACGTGCAAGCAACAAGTGGAGAAAAGACCTGTGCTTATAAGGAGCATCCTGGTCCGGGAGGCCTCGAAGCAAAACTCTTGGGCTCTGACCCCTGGATTGGGGGCCACAGGACTAGATCTACTCCCTGACAGCTGATAGCATTAATGTCGAACTTGCTGTGCCTCTTCGGTGCTGTACTAGGATGATCTGGGTTGTCGAGGCGCGCCGGGAGGTGGCGGTGTGGTCACGCGCACCGGCCTGGCCGCGTCCAAGTTCAAGCTCTGGGTGGGGAGCCCGCTTCCCGTCGCCGCGTCGTTAATAACTTAAAGAGCCAGGCAGGCCGAGGTGCAGGGGCGGGGGCTCGGCAGGACGCCGCCCCGGCTGTGCGGCTCGGCGCGGGAGGACCCCGACCCGGGTCGCGGTGCTGGGCTGGCCGCGCTGGGCCGCAGGACGGGTCCGGGCCGCGTGCCCCGGGGTCGCCTCCGGGGTCCCGCACTCCGGGCGTCCACGCGGGAGGCCGCCGCCGCCCCCCATCCAGCTGCCCCGGGTGCGCGCGCCTCCTCCGGCCTCCTCCCCTGCCCCCGCCCTCCCTCCCCGCCACCTTCTCCCCCCTCCCCCTCCCCCCGCAGTCCCCTCCCTCCTCCCGCCCCCTCCCTCCTCCCCGCCGTCCCCTCCCTCGTCGTCCCTCTCGCCCCTCCTCCTCCCCTCCCTCCTCCCGCTCCCCTCCCCCTCCGCTCCCGCCGCCTCCGCCCGCCGCCCCGGCCGCGTCGGGTAAACCTGTTCTGCGAGGCGACCGCGCCGGGGCGGATCGAGCGGCCGGCGGCTGCTCGCGGCGTCGGGGCCCGTGGAGCGCGCGGCCGGCCCTCGGCCGCGGCCCTCGGCGGCGCCACCATGTACTCGGGAGCCGGCCCCGGTGAGTCCGCGCGGCGGGGGCCCGGCGCTCGCGCCGCGGCGGTTGGCGGGGGGCGGGTGGGGGCGCCGGCCGGGGCCTGTGGGGCCGCGGCGTGGCCTCGGGGCGGCCGGACAGGGCCTCGGGGCGGGGAGGCCCAGGGCGCCCGAGCGGCGCGGCCGGGACGCGTGTGGGGGGCCCAGGCCCGGCCTGCGGCGGGTCTCCGTCCTCCCGCCGCGCTCCTCCCGCCGGCCCCGAGCGCACGGCAGCGGGGGCCCTGGGCGGGGAGCCGGACGGGTCGGGAGCCGAACCCCGGGGCCCCGGGACCGCAATCGGCCGCTCGGGCGCAGCTCCCCGCCCGGCAGCCGCCCGCCCCATTCAAGCGCTAATCTCTCGGCGGATTCCCCCGGAGCGGGCGGCCGCCGTGGCACTCCTTCCCGCCGGCGTGCCCATGTCCCTGGAAAAGTTCCAGAAAACTTAAAAACACAAACGCGTTCCCCACCCTGCCCGCGGAGCAGAGCGGAGGGCGGTTTTACTCGCGGGGCCGAGGAAACAGTTAGGTGTTGGAGGGATCCTTCGCCCTCTCCCGCCAGGCACGTGGCTCCCTTTCCCGGCCGCCCCGCCGCCTGCTCGGGCTCAGCCTGCCCCCCTTTGTCCGCCAGGCCGTGCTTGGCGCCCGCGGGCCCTCCCTGCTGCCCACCTGACCTAGCGGCTCGCCTCGGGGCCTCCCCAGACTTCCCCGCTGCGGGCTCTGGAAGCCTCCCAGGTCTTCCCGGGTCCCCAGCGGTACCTGCCTGGAGCCCGCTGCGCCTCCTCTGCGGATGTCATAGCGCTGGCTCCTCGAATGCCCACTGACCAACTTCTAAAAGGCGTTACATAGGGCTTCCAGCAATTTGTGGACCCGGTTCACCTTGGCGTCTGGAAGGTGACCGGGTCCCGGGGCAGTTGTTGGGGTCTGGAGGCCGTCTTGGCAGTGGCCGGGCAGCCTCCTGCCCGAGTGTGGGAATCCTCCAGCTCAGCGCTGTGGAGGAACCCAGAAAACCTTAATTCCGAGGCTGCACCATTTTCTCAGAGTGTCAGTTTCTAGTGACTTCCTTAGGAACGAGACCAGGCTTTCCTCTGTTTTGCATGTTTCTCCTCTCGGCCTGTCACAGTGGGTCTTCATTCTGAAGACAGGCAGTAGGAGCTCAGAGACGTTAAGAGCCCCGTAACATTCAGGAGCCAGCAGGCATTAGGGCAACCTGTTTGAACATTGCTAGGGAAGTGGCTCCCAGTATCTTTGACCTTGACCCACCGTTGGAACTACCTGTTTGGTGTGGATTAGACCAGTGGATTCCCAGATAGGGTGGAAATGAGAACCTACTGTGTGTTCTGCAAGGGGAGGTTGCCTTTTAGAAAAGAATGCGGTAGCTCTCTGGATCAACCGGTTCGTTTTGGTCACTGGCAGCTTTGAAGATGGCTGCTGCTGCGTGGGCCTCTGCGTTGTGGCCTGAGGGAGAGACAGTCCCCTCTAACCAGAAAACCTTGGGCGAGAAAAGAGATGCCTGTAGGATAATTCTTGGCTAATGGCAGACTGGGAAGGAACCCAAGATCCAGGTGGGCCAGTGTGCTGTAATCGCAAGGCCCGAGTGCAGCTTCATTTTATTGTACACACCACGGCTTTTAATTTTTCTTAAAAGGCCCCCCATACAATTTCTTCAGTGAGACGCAACAATATTTCCAAATTTCGGAGGATGGAAGGCCATTGTATCTGAATTCTAGAAATGTTACAAAGAGCTTTGCAGCTCCCCAGCTTCATGGGAAGTAAATACTTAGTAAATTAACTTTAAAAATAGAATTCACAATGGGTTTTTATCCGCCTTTTACAAACTGTTACACGTGTGACAGTAGCTGCCTGGGTGGGGGGGGCAAGGTTTGGAACTTGATAGATTTTTTTTCCCCTTCCTGAAGGGTTAGTGGTTTAGGGTATGTAAATTCTCTACCCAACACGAAACTTCCTATCAAAGTGGGTTGTAGGTGGGGTCTCCCACCTAAGGGTTTTAAGCTGTCTGGCTGAGCTCCCTCTTTCTTTTATTGCCCAGGAGGATTTGCTACAAAGTAACCTCTGTGACAGTGAAAACTGGGTGTGGAGTTGCGTCCACTGTGGCCCTGCTCCCCGGATTCTTCCCAACTCCCAGTTGTGTGAGGGCACCACTGCAGCTTGGTGGGCTCTGTGCCCCAGGGAAGGTGCTGCCAGCAGCTGGGAAGCACGCAGTGCGGTGGCTGATGAGCATTTGTGGGAACCCCGCCCCCCAGCGTGTGCAGTAATTTAAATAATGGGTACTTGTGAAAGCTTTGACTTACATGTTGGTAAGAAGCAACATTTTGTAACTGAGTTTCTTTTGTCAACACCGTTAGGTTTATTCTTCACAGTTCAAGAGACTGGGCTGCCAGTATGATAAAAATGTTTCTTTTTTTAACTTTATGAATTGTTATTGTAGTAAATGTAACAGGATTTTTAAAAAGTTTCTACTGTGAAGTAATGTTGCAACCTGAAAGCAGGGTGTCCAAAGGTTTGGTTTGTGCCTGTGGATTCCTCCTGCTGCTGCTACTGCAGCTGTCAGTTTGGGCGCGGTTTACCAGCCGCCTTCTTCCCCGCTAACATCCTAAAGCAGACTCCAGCCCTGTCAGTTCACCCTGACGTGCTTGTGACACAGAGTACAGGGATTTCCCCCCTTCTCTTTCAGAGACAGGGTGGGCTGAATAGCCCCTGCTGGTCTCAAACTCATCCTCCTGCCTGTGCTCCCAGAGTCATGGGGTTACAGGTTTATGCCAGCATGAAGAACTGGTGCAGGTATATATGAACACAACCCGGTGCTATAGTTATACTAGGCGTTACCAAGTCTCCTGACTTCAGAGACAATGATTACACTTGGCTTGCTTTTTTAAATTTTGTTCTTATTTATATGTATTAGTGTTTACCGACATGCATGTATGTATACCACATGCATGCCTGGTGGCCCCAGAGGCCAGAAGATGGCATCAGGCAACTGGAGTCACAGATATTTGTGACTGTGGACGGTGGCAACTGAACTTGGGTCCCGCAAGAGCAGCAAGTGCTCTTAACTACTGAACCATCTCTCCAGACCCTACAATTGACATTAGAATATGGAGTTATGGAAGAACATGTAAATTTGGGTTCTGTCATCTAAATCTTTCTTGGTTGTATCTTGTTTTTGAAACATGGTGTTTTTACACAAGTCACTACTTTGAGTATAACATTCATAGTTACAGCAAGGGCCTGTCTCTCCGTGGCCCTCTTTCAGGTGATTCAACTCATTAGAAAATCAGGATGGCCTTTGTGTAGCTCCTATTGCAGAGCCTACCCCAAGGTGGGATTCCCTCCCCAGTTTTGGGCTCAGGTGGGGGTGAGGAATCATGATCTGTATCCCTCCCGTTATCTGCTCGAGCCATCCTGTGCACCCTGCAGCTTCACAACACCAGCATCACTGTCTCGTGGGCAGTGAGGCTGCACTGGCCCGGCCCAGCCTGGTGCGGGTACCATTCTCTTCACTCTGACTGGTTGAATAAAGTGAAGCTCTTGTGGTGAGATGGTATCAAGCTACAACTAATTTCCCACTTTCACCTCTAGAGCTGAAGAACCCGAAGTCCTTATGTGTACCGGTTTTCCCTTTTTCCCTCTTCCAGACCAAACACCTGTGCCTTTCTATCAACTTTTCACTAGGGCTGTGCGGGGTTCATCATCTAACCTGGGAGCTTTCTCCAGTCAAGTGGGGTGTTTGGACAGCGGCAGACCTGGTGGGCCAGGCCCGAGTCAGACCTGGGGCTCAGGAGCAGGGCTGAGTGTGTACACTTGCTGCACACCCAGTGCATCTGGGGTCCTGGTGATGCCTGCAGGTACACGTGTGGTGCCCCTGAGGCACTGCACCAATGTGTGCTGCTGCAGCCCCAAGCAGGCGGCCCACCCGGTGGGTGTGTGAGAGGCAGCCAGGCCCTCCGCTGTCTGCCAAGAACACAGTGCCTCCGGCTCTTGGACACTGGACCAGCATCGGGAACTCTATTCTTGGGCTTCCCTTAGTGTCAGCAGGGGCAGTGGACGGAGAACATGGTCATCCATTTCAGTCCTGTCCTCCTAGGGATGTGTGGGGAGTTTGACATCTGTGTGGGTCTCAGTTTCCCTGTCTGGAGCATGTAAGATATTTCCTAAGTTGCTCACACCCTCTGGACCTTGTGACTTGGATTCTTTTTTTCCCCCGCCCATGTGGCACAGGCTGAAGGGGAACTGTGTGTATGTGTCCCCAGTCATCTTGAGAACATGCTGGTAGGATGATGGTTTACCCAGGGTAGCCAGACAGGGCCCCGTAGAGCCAGATTCAAGATGAGCCTGCAGAGGTAGGCTTGGCTTTCACGGCTGCCTACATGCTTTACAAGTGGTGGGCTCTGGTCCATATTGCCAACACAGATGTGTGTTCCAGTCAGGAACCAAGTGGAATCCTATGGAGATGCAAAGAGCATTAAGTGTCCACCTTCCAGGTTTACAGTATGTCTGCACAGGTGCTATTGGTTCCTTGTCCCTACTCCTCCTAACTCCCAGGGAGCTCACTTGAAGCTGAGTCCTTGGAAGCATCTTGAATAGTTCACTGGAGAGCATGAGGACAGGGCAGCAAGGAAGTGAGGAGCTGACTTAGGGATTAGGTGGCTGGATGGCACCAGTGGTTTAAAGAGAGGATTTGGGGCATTGGAGATAATGACCAGGCCAACACCTGTGGGAAGACAGAGAGGGTTAAGGAGGAAGAGGTCTGGGCAGGAACTGCTTCCAAATCTTGTGGTACCAGGCGGGCAAGTGCATTCTGGAAAAACATCTTCTTCATGTGTGTGTTTGGGCCGGAGCTGGGCCCAGGGCTATTTGGGAACCACCCTGTCAGCTCTCCCAGCCTCCTCTACCTAGGGGAAGAAGGTAGTGATGCTTTGTGTGTTGTATTAGGTATTTCTCTTTTGTTGTGAGAAAGCACCATGATGGAAGG